CTCTAATGGTATGTATTTTCATTAAGAATTCACTTTGAAATATCACTTGCAATGTTATCAGAGTAATTGGTTAGTTTGACCTAAAAGTTTCTTTATCTTGACCTTAAAAAAAGGATGTTGCAAGGAAAGCCAAAAACATTTGGTTATATCTTAAACATATTATGTGTATGACAATCGACAAATATAAATCTAATTATTTATAAGTGCATGTTTTATAACAGCATGTCGAAATGTGAAAGTGAACTTTCTATCTAAATAATGACTTTTAATATTTTATATGTAAAGCAAAAACATTTTCTAATTAACAAGAAAATAAATAAGCAAGCAATTAATAGCATACCCCATTCGCATACAATATTTACAGGGCACACAGAATTCGATTTGCGATTCGCTCGTCTTGTTTTTATTGCCCCTATGTGTGGCATGCAAATTTAATGATGTCAACGAAGGCAACAAGGCAAAAAGTAGAGTATACTTTTCGGGGGAAGAGGGAGGGATTCGGATTTTAATTATCAAAAGAGCAGCAGCCAGAGCAACACATGCAGACAAGTGTATGAATAACGATTCGTTTACGGCCAGGATGCCGGGATCCTCTCGTTGGACAAATAATAATATGTAATTTTCCGGTCATTGAAACATTTGCACAAATAAGGAAATTGACTGAGCCGTTTGCCCAAATGACACGTGTCCGCATCTGAATTTCTATCTAAATCTGAATCTGAATCTGAATGTGAATCTGTATCTGCATCTGTGTGTAATTCTAATTGCAAACCGATTCCAATTTCAAACCTCCAATTCCTATCCCGGTTTTATATCCCAACTAAACTCTCTGTCTGGACGATGAATTATGGCTTTGGATGGCATTTGCTCCATTACACTTGACTTTGCCATCCTCAAGTAAATCATTTGAATATTTAAATTAAATCAACTTCAAATTCAACTGCCGTTGCACGAGTGTGTGTGCTCAGGCAAATATAGTTTGCGGATGTTGGGTTGCTTCTTCTTCGGCCTTATCTTTTTCATTTTAGCCGGCAATCGAAATGACTTGAAGGCGTTAATTATAATGGGTTAATGGAAGGTGGGGGGGATTGCGTGTGTGTGCAATATAATTTAAATTGGCAAAAGTTATGGGCCTTGATTCGAAGTGCGGGGGAGGGGGAAGTGTGCTTGAAATTCACAACTTTAACCAAATGATTGATTTAATAGGAACTTAATACTGCTATTCCATAATAACAATGATTTTGTTTGCCTTTCATTGTATTAATCGTTTAATTGCGGTTGTTGTATGAGTGCATCTTAAGCTTACACTTATGTATATTTTCAATTAAAAGCCAGAAGGTTAATTATTTAGGCTTTCCAGAAAGTGATTATAAGTTGGCTTATAACGCATTGAAAATAAAAATATATAGAATATTATCAATTGAAAAAGGCTGTGTAAAATTGGGTAATATTTTACTTCAATTGTTTGTTTGATTTATATAAAAGACGTGTGTTTCCAATTAAGAACCTTGGTCCGTGCCAAAGTCTAATTTCCCCTTGAATTCAATTTCACTTGCTGATCTTGAATATTAAAATTGAAAGCATGTGGGTGTACATCCTTTGTGGCTGCTGCTTGTCTCTTGAGCAAATGCCATTAGTAATGTGAAATTATTTAAAATTTATTTCGAACGTTTCGGGGGTATGAATAACGAGCCAGCTCGAGATGAAACGAATAAATCACTGGATGTCCTCCGACAGTCTGCATCAGCTGGAAAGCATTCCCCATTCCTGGGCCACAAAGATTTTCCCAACAATTTCGGTTGACTAATTGAAAGTTTGGGGGGGGGTCAGGAGAAGGGGGTCAGGGTAGAAGCCGCAACATTTGGCAAATGGCAAACATGACGTAAAACATTTTGCCAACAAGCCAGAAATACAATACCAGAGAAACAATGGCAGCCACTGTAAGGTGGCGGGAATGTAAAAATGTTTCTTAACAAATTGCACGCGTGTCAAAATTAAAACGAATAAATTTTTTATGGACGCACAAAGTCGCCGCTGACGAAGGCGATATAATTTCAAAATTGTCGCCGCGGCGCCGCCTTTTGTCTCCGCTCGAAATCGCAAGTGGGTGGTGGTGTCTGGATTTTGCGGGGAATCCAACATTCGGCGGTGCTTATTTACGATGCGGCTCCGCTCTGTTCTCTGCTCCGACTTAGCCGGATAATTAATTAAAAATCGATAAGAATTTGATTTGGATTTAACGGCTCTGGCTGAGCGGGTGCGAGAATTATGATGCTTAGTCAGCCGAAAACCGAAAACAGAAAGCCGAAAACCGAAAGCCGAAAGCTGAAAGCCAAAGCGGTTTCGACAAAATTTCTGACATCCCAATGACAAACGACAGGCGGCACCCCCTAACACCACCCACCGTCCCCAACGGGGCCTTTTGTTTTTGTTTACGATACTCGATTCGCAATTAGGTATAAATTTTTTGAATGTGAATTCTCAGCGGGATGCATATCATGTATATGCCATATATATATTTATATATATATGTGGGCGGCGCAACTATAAATAGGCGAGCGGCTCAGATTTTAGCCATGTGGTCCACCTGATTTGATTGTTTGCCAATGAAAATGATTGCAGGCCATAAATTTGGGTTCCCGTATGTGCGCGTTTCCTCTTTCACCTATTCGACGTCATACAGCACATCCGCGATCTTCTCTAAACTAAATACCTGATTTTGAATACTTAATATTATAAAATGTAATAGTGGAATGAGTAAAATTATCCAAAGCTTGAACCCATTTTGGTACCTGCAGTACTCAATACAAAATCACCAAACAAATAATGAATTCAAAAGCGTTATTCTAAGAACAAAGGAATATGAATTCAAGACTAAACAATATAAAGCTTTTACTTAGCAGTTTAATTTCTAGGCCTATGATCCGATTTAATTTTCTTATTTGTTGTGTTATTTAAATATTGAAAGTTTCGATTTTTTACATTTAAAAGTATTTGCTTAATACTCAGCATATTTTTTGCGGTAGCCAGGGTATCTAATGATCGAGATCTTCTGTCCTGTGCTATTTTTATACCCTTGCAGAGGGTATTATAATTTCAGTCAAAAGTTTGCAACGCAGTGAAGGAGACATTTCCGACCCTATAAAGTATATATATTCTTGATCAGCATCACCAGGAGAGTCGATCTAGCCATGTCCGTCTGTCCGTCCGTCTTTCCGTCTGTCCGTCTGTCCGTCCGTCTGTCCGTCTGTCCGTCCGTCCGTTTCTACGCAAACTAGTCCCTCAGTTTTAAAGCTATCTGCTTGAAACTTTCCCAAAAGTTGTCTTTCTATTGCAGGTAGTATATAAGTCGGAACGAGCCGGATCGGGCCACTATATCATATAGCTGCCATATAACTGAACGATCGGAAATGCCATAACTTTGGTGTTTTTAAAGTTAGGAAGTTGGGATTTTCTATGAGTTTTATTTTTGGCCAATTAATCCGACCTACCGAATTTCAAAAGGATCGGACGACTATATCCTATAGCCGCCATATAATTGATTGATCGGAAATGCCATAACTTTGGTGTTTGTAAAGTTATCAAGTTGGGATTTTCTATGGGTTTTATTTTTGGCCAATCAATCCGACCTACCAAATTTCATAAGGATCGGCCGACTATATCCTATAGCTGCCATATAACTGAACGATTGGAAATGCCATAACTTTGGTGTTTTTAAAGTTAGGAAGTTAGGACTTTTTATGAATATTAAGAATATATGAATATATGAATAATTTTGAAGAATATAATTTACAGAATATTCTGCAAGGGTATATCAACTTCGGCTCCGTCCGAAGTTAGCTTTCCTTTCTTGTTTTCTTCTGGAGTCTTTTTCTTATCCGCTGGCTTCGTTTTATTTTTATTGTTTCGATTGGAGCGCGTGAATTTATGGCGGTCATAAATAACATTACAAACAACACACTCGAAGGTCGCCTGGGGATGGCCAAAGGGTTGCCACAGGGGGTTGGGTGCCGAAAGGGGAGGGGGGAGGCAGGGGGGAGGTTGGCCCAGTTGAAATTCACAGGGAGCTAATTATTGTAAATTGTGCACTAATCTCAGGGGGAAGAATTTCCGATTTCACAATACGTTTAAGATCTCTTCGTTTAATTCGAATGATTGGTTTCCCGTGGTTTTTTCTTGCCATTAAATATAAGTAAACGTATTAATGGCTTTGATTGCATAAATTATTTAAGGGTTGCCATATATAAGTGTAACTTAAATTATTTTTCAAATATATGTATTTTATTTAATATTTAAATGGCTTTTGCATGATTTAACAAAATAAACAGCTTAAATTGGGTTGCAGAAAGGTGACCTAAAATATTTTTCACAAAGGGGTACATCATTATTAATTGCAAAAATTGGTCATTAATGAAATTTTTAGGCTATAAATGCAACTTATAACTCATGATTTTTATAAAAAAAAATTTTGCTGTGAATGCAACTTTATTAGACATTTTTTAACGAATTCAACGAGGTATTACAATCCAACATGCGACCCTTAATTCCCAGGATATTTATAAAAAAAAAATCGAAAAATCGATCTTGTTTTCCGGATTTCGGCCAAAATAATTTTCATAAGGGGGCCCTTATAATTAAAAAAAAATAAAAAAATTTTTGCTGTAAATGCCAATTGATTGGAAATATTATAACAAATTCAACGAGGTATATCATTCCAACTTGCGACTATTATTTTCACGGGTTTTGATCAAAAAACCGAAAAACCAATGATTTCTTACGGATTTTGGCCAAAATAATTTTTATAAGGGGTAGCCTCATGATTTTTTTCCAAAAATAAAATTTTTTAGCTGCGAATGCCACTTGATTGAAAATTTTATAACGAATTCAACGAGGTATAGCATTCCAACTTGCGAGTATTATTTCCCAGGGATTTGATAAAAAAAAACCGAAAAATGCTGGTTAGTTTATCGGAAATTGTTTAATAATGATGTTGTACGTACCTTTGCACACCTTGCGGTGGGTGAGGGGCTTGGTGGGGTCGCGGTAGAATCCCTCCTTGCACTGGTGGCAGTTGCGGCCCGTGGTCGAGTGGCGGCAGTTCTGGCAGACTCCGCCGGAGACGCCTTGCGAAAGCCGGAAGATCTCCATGTTGAAGCGGCACTGGCGGGCGTGCTTGTTGCAGTTGCACTCTGAAAGACGAAAGGAGAGGAAAAGTTCGGATGAGAAAAGATACATCTGGCATTTGTTAAGTTCTAACTGTCCGCTTTTTAACAGCTTTATTATCGCCCTCGATTTGGCGATTGCCCAATGCGATAAATGGGAAAAATGGCACGCAAAATGGTTTGTCCAGGGAATGGCTCGAGATTGGCCAGAATGGAATGAGGTGGGAGGGGGAAATGGGTCTGCGATTGCCAGTGGATCTGGTGGATGGGAGCGCTATTTGTCTAGCGGGACATTGGCTTAGGTTGGATAATTTATGCGGCGATTTGTTTTGAATTACTTACTCAAGACCTTACCAATCGACAACGGGGCGTATGAGCAGTAAACGGGATGTTTAAGACAAAAAATAAATTTCTGTATTTTAATAACAGATATTATTGTCCTTAATTTTTAATAAAAACTGTATTAGTAACTAAGCATTTTTTTGGGTTTTGTAAATTTTAAAAATACGTTTGCGTATATATATTATATAATATTAATATTGTAAGCAAAAGATATTTAATAAAATTTCAAGATGATTTCTTGAGGAGTTAAAAATAAATCCAAGGAACTCCATAAAAGTGGAATTACCATCAGCAAATCTCTTTAATGTTTTAAAGGGAAGGTAACTGGCCGTCCTATTCGATCATTGAAGACCGGAGGTTCCTTTGCTTATTCCCTGTCGCCTGCTGCTTGTTATGCTTTTGGCAAACAGTTTTGCTATTGACATTCGATGGCGACTGCTGCGGTTCTTGCTGCCTGCCATTGGTACACTGAGAGAAATAGGGCCTTTTTCTCAAATAGTAAAAACTATTGGTGAGCAATGATTTTGTGTAGTGTTCATATCACTTGTTTGAGCAAAGCTTATTAAATTAACAAATTAATTTCAGCTAAACCCTTTGAATATTATTTTAAAGCTATATACAAAAATTTAGAAAAAATATTAATAATTATGTTATATTATTTTGCTCTTTATATCTAACTTTGTACATGGCCATAAAAACCACCTGCGAATTTGAGCTGTGTGCAGTTGCTGGTGCTGAGTTGGCATCTTCTTGCCCCGAGGTTTGGACGCCAAAGGAAGCGCAGTCGGAAATGGACAGCTGACCTGTCAGTGGCAAAGGCCACGAATCTTTCTGCTGTTGCAGCTTGCGGCTAGACAAAAACTTGAAGCACCGCACCATTGTCCATGGTCGAGGGCCCACTGTCTGCGATGCCGTGCAATCGACAGTTGTGTCAGCCCGGCTTCATTCCGAATCCGCAGCTCAGTTCGGTTCTGTTCTGGGCACACATGTTATAATTATCGTCCGCAGGCAGACACGACGAAATTCGACTCCACTTTCACTCCACTCTCACTGGTGCCACTGGGTCTCCCTGCCCTGTGCCCCATGCCCCATGCCTCATGCCACAATCTCCGTTCTCCACTCCCCAATCTTCATTCCGTCCTCATGCCAGCCGCAGACAAACTTATGTCAGCGCAAATATTTGAACGCAGTCAGGGACTTTCGCATTCATACACTCGGAATAAATAACGAATATGCAATAATACATTTAAATAAATAGAGTGATCCGAGAAAATATACTTATGTTTTGAATTATAAGTTAATAAAATTAAACAATATTGGTTGAAGTTTTATAAACCATAAATTATACAGTTATTGGCATCATTTGTATTATAAAAATAAAAACAAACATAAAAAACAAGAAACAATATTATGATGTTACAAGAGATAATTCAATAAACATTTTTCAATGTTAAATTCTTCTGGCGGTTAAAACAATACACCATAATTGGTTATTGAATTGTTCTCAGAACAAAGTTTTCAATTTATATGAAATTTATAATAAATAATAATTGCAATACTTAAATTTCAATATAATAAATTTCATAACCTAGTTTTTTGTATAAGAATTTTTATTTCGTAAGGTTTTTGATTGAAGTGAGTACAATATATTTAAAAAAAATGTGTAGCTTTAAGGGAGGCCCATACTGTATTAGAATTTAAATAAAATAAGTTACTTTTTGATAATTAAATGAATATTTTCTGCAGTGTACGCGGAGGAGCATTCGGAGACCGTTGTAGAATCGTCAACAAAAGCTAAGCAAATATTTAGAAAACGCAGAGCTCAAAGCACGGCGTGTGGCTAATTGACAAGCTACCAAGCTGCCAAGCTACCAAGCTGCCAAGCTACCAATCTACTAGGCTTCCATGGGCCAAACTCCCCATTTCCGCCCCGAAAAGGGTTCGGCTCGGTGTTAAAAATGCTAGATAATTAATTTTAATGACACACTTACGACCTGCGACTTGCGACTGCCGGCGAATGCCACTTGATTTATGGGCCGGGCAAGAGATTTTCGTTTTTTTTTTTTTTGGATCGACTGTTTTTTTTTTTTTTTTTTTGGGGGGCCATGTAAATTTGAGTTCGACGATTACAAAATGCCCATCCAGCTCAATCAAATGCGACTTAAAGCGATGCATAAAACCGCTCATTAGCCGGACCCCAAGCTGCGGTGTTATCCGAGAAAGGTGAGTCCAGTAATTAAGTTCAAATTTGATAAGTGGCCCTCAAACACTCTCACACTCCCCGAAACGGATGGATGGATATGGATGGCCGGGGAGACAATGAAATCGTCAGTATCCGTATCGGTATCGGTATCTGTATCTGCATCTTTGTCGCAGCCTCGAAATTAACAGCCTGGGAGAGTTTCCAATAAAAACATTTTTAGGCCGCTTAACTTTCGACTCGAATTAGTCACACGGCTAAGAAAAAACATTGCTTTTGACAGGGAAAGCTGGTAGGTCGATAAAGAAATGCACCTCTCGATGGCAAAACAAGGATATACAAATAAATTAAATACAATTTATTATTGGTAATGGTAATACAAAGTATATTGATACTTTATAGCTATTCAAAAGCCAATGGATTTATTAAAAATAATAGAATAGTTTATAAAACTTAAGCTAACATACTTAGACATAGTCTTTGATAATTAATCCCTCGGACTTCTGAAATCAAAATATATCGTTGCATACTTTTAGACACCTTTAAAAGTGATTTCAAAACCCCTTTTTTCGCGAACAGAAAATCAGAGTTAAAGAACGACTCTATTCCCGTACAATCCATGTTTTTGAAAAAGACCTGAGCTTTCCTAGTCGACGGAGTTTGGTTTAATTTTTTTGTTGGTCAATCCCAGCAATCGCACTTTGAATGGCAACTGTTTCCGGTACTCGGCCCATGTTGACACAGTGCAATGCTTGCGAGTTATGAATGGAAGCCCTTTGATATCTCCCCAGTCCACAGTTCACAATCCACAGTCGGATTCGACGGTTGGGCATCTCTAATTAACTGCCGCAGAGACGGAGTCGAATATTTTTTTGTTCGCTGCTTCGGGGACTTCTGGCCGGGGCTTGGGTTCTGGCCAAGAGCAGATTTGGTCCAGCTTAGGAGCTCCGAATTGGCCAAAGCTGCTGCATCGAAAGCCGTTGATAAATTGTCGGAAAGCGTTCGCTTTTGGCCAGTGACCAAACAAACCAAAACATTCCGAACCGAGCAGACCAACGCAAACGCAAACGCAAACCAACCAAAAGCCAATCCAACGTTACGCTTTTGACTTGCTCTAGAGTACCAAGTTTATGCGGTGCAAATTATGACATCAGCAATTTTTCGAACTAAAAACCGTTAATAATATTTGTAATTTTGATCTAACCTTTGTGTCAGTCATACTTTAATTTAAGTTTTAATTTAAAAAGAACGCTTTGCAGCGCTTTTCTTTAATTCGAAAATGATTTTAATTTAATTCAAGAAGCTCACAAAAGAAATTATTAATAATTGTCAGCATGTTTGATTTATTGTTCGAAAAACTTATTTTCCAAAATTTTGCATTACTTTGTTTAAAGGCAATATTTGGTTAATTTACCTAAAACAACATAATTTTATATTTTATATAAATTATAAATTATTCAGTATTCATGGTTATTTTACATGCAAGTTTAGCTTTTAAACGGAATTGGCATTATTTTCGTGATGTTGAAACTCGAACCTATAACTTTCAATCACGAAATGATTTTGCAGAAGGGATGTGGCATAAACGCAGTAACTGTTGATGGGGCTTATGCCCCCACTTTTGGGGCTTGGGGTTGTTTGGGCCGGGGCTTTTCCTTGTCCATGTCCTGGCTGAGAGTTTTCAATTTGCCTCTGCCGACCCCTCGTGAGCTGGTCGTTGTCGACATTTCATCGTTTTATGATTGATTGCGTTCGCCTCGCAGTGATTTTCGGTAACCGAAAATTGTGAATTGAATTCGTGGTGGGAGGGGTGATGGTGCAGGGGGAGGGGGAGGGGGAAAGTGGAGATGCCCCGGATGAGGGGCATTCAATTGCTGTTGTTGCTGCTTTTGGTGCGATTGCGGTTGCGGTTGCTGCTCTTGCGTTTTTGCACTGCAATTTGACAATTTCATCGCAAAATTGTTTTGGTGTCTGTGGCCGTGTTGTTCTGTGTGTGTGTGTGTGTGTGTGTGTGTGTGTCTCTGTGATTTATCAAAAGTGAACGATTAAACAAAAAAAGCGTCTTGTTTACGCGCATACTTTGGTAATTAATAATTTCGAATTTTTGCGATCCGAACAAAGTGAAATGATTGTTCGGTGGATTCAGAAGAAACTGGCAATTATGTCATCTCATCTTTCGCCTTAGCCGTCTGTCCGAGTATTCTGGTTAACCCAGTTCCCAGTAGTTCTTTGAACTACTCGTAGTACAGGGCGAGTATTTATAAACATTTTCATCGTAAACGCCCCAAAACAGTCGTAAACAGCCAGAGCCACTTTCATAAATTGTTCGCACTGACTTCCCTGGAAGCGTTTGCGATACCAAGAAAATCGTCCATCCTCATCCACATGGCCCAAAACATCCAAACAATGATGGACCCCGGGCCAAGTGCCACCCCCTCCCCTCTCCGTTCCCCTACTAACTGCATTATAATGGGCCTTATCGGCG